CCTGCCCCAGTAGCCCCTGTATATTGTGCTGTAAATATTTGCAGTTTAAATATACCATTAATATCCTGCCCCAGTAGCCCCTGTATATTGTGCTGCAAATATTTACAGTTGCCCGTCACGTGTTCTATGTTCACACCTCGGCTGTTATAAGTCAAGTCTGCAATGGGGAACTTATTGATTGATAGTACTTAAATAAAGAATTTATTTTGTTATTCTTTGGGAAATTTTAATTCTTTTAAGTGTTTATAAACCCTTCATTAATTAGTGATTCTTCTCATTATTATTTCATTAATTAATTCTTCTCATTATTATTTCATTAAAAAAATGATTTTTCTCCTTATTGTTTCATTATTTAGTGATTTTTTCCTTATTATTTCATAATTTAATGATTCTTTTCTTTAATATAAATTTCTTAGAAACTTACGATAAAATTAAGCCACGATTATCGGATAATTGCTATAGAAGGTGCAGTTACTGCAACACTTGATTATATGTGTGGTGATTTGTTGCCATTAAATGGCTTCCACTGCGCAGGTCAGTGGCCCCTCCACTGCGCAGGTCAGTGGCCCTCCACTGCGCAGGTCAGTGCCCCTCCACTGCGCACTCTGGTCTCTCAAAATTTACAATACAATCAACATCGCGACTAGTTCTAAATTATATAAATAAAAACAGCACAATATTCATTAGAAATAATTATATATGCAGTATTTGCGGGTTAAAAGTGCCATTAATATCCTGTCACAGTAGCCCCTATATATTGTATGCAAATACAATTTGTAACCCTATATATTGTATGCTACTGTAACCCTTCGCCTGTCTCGTGTTATATGTTCACCACCTCGGCTGCAATAAGTCAAGTCTGCAATGGGGAACTGATTGATTGATAGTACTGATTTTAAGTGTTTATACGCCCTTCATTAATTAGTGATTCTTCTTATTATTATTTCATTAATTAATTATTCTACTCATTATTATTTAATTAATTAGTTATTCTTCTCATTATTATTTCATTAATTATTGATTTTTCTCCTTGTTATTTCAATATTTAGTGATTTTTCTAATTATTTCATTATTTAGTAAATTTTTCTAATTATTTCATTATTTAGTAAATTTTCCTTATTATTTCATTATTTAGTGATTTTTTTCCTTATTATTTCATTATTTAATGATTCTTTTCCATATTATTTGATTATCTAGTACTTCTTCTCCTTTATATTTCTGGTAAACTTATGATAAAATTAAGCCACGATTATCGGATAATTGCTATAGAAGGTGCAGTTACTGCAACACTTGATTATATGTGTGGTGATTTGTTGCCATTAAATGGCATGATTGCAGGTGGTTCTTAATTGCAGGTGGTTCTTAATTGCAGGTGGTTCTTAATTGCAGGTNCTACTGCAGGAGGCGTGAGTTGCGTGTTATTAACTGGACATGAAGGCAGCGCATCTACCATCTACTGCAGGAGGCGTGAGTTGCGTGTTATTAACTGGACATGAAGGCAGCGCATCTACCATCTACTGCAGGAGGCGTGAGTTGCGTGTTATTAACTGGACATGAAGGCAGCGCATCTACCATCTACTGCAGGAGGCGTGAGTTGCGTGTTATTAACTGGACATGAAGGCAGCGCATCTACCATCTACTGCAGGAGGCGTGAGTTGCGTGTTATTAACTGGACATGAAGGCAGCGCATCTACCATCTACTGCAGGAGGCGTGAGTTGCGTGTTATTAACTGGACATGAAGGCAGCGCATCTACCATCTACTGCAGGAGGCGTGAGTTGCGTGTTATTAACTGGACATGAAGGCAGCGCATCTACCATCTACTGCAGGAGGCGTGAGTTGCGTGTTATTAACTGGACATGAAGGCAGCGCATCTACCATCTACTGCAGGAGGCGTGAGTTGCGTGTTATTAACTGGACATGAAGGCAGCGCATCTACCATCTACTGCAGGAGGCGTGAGTTGCGTGTTATTAACTGGACATGAAGGCAGCGCATCTACCATCTACTGCAGGAGGCGTGAGTTGCGTGTTATTAACTGGACATGAAGGCAGCTCATCTACCATCTACTGCAGGAGGCGTGAGTTGCGTGTTATTAACTGGACATGGCAGCTCATCTACCATCTACTGCAGGAGGCGTGAGTTGCATGTTATTAACTGGACATGAAGGCAGCTCATCTACCATCTACTGCAGGAGGCGTGAGTTGCATGTTATTAACTGGACATGAAGGCAGCTCATCTACCATCTACTGCAGAAAATAATTAAAAAATTAACAACATTTCACAGTTCGTAAATTTCTGCAAATTTTCTTCAAAACCTTGGAAAGTGGAACTTCATGTTGATTTTAGAAATAATAATCATAATATGTAATAATAAAAATAATAAATAATATTGATTATTGAATTTTATATTGATTATCATGAGAAAATAGTCAGATAAATCTATAAATTATTGAAGTTCTATCGGTTACCTTTATTTAGTAATAGGGACCTTATTTATGTACCTACCGTATGTTGGGTTGGTATGTTGTAAATAATGTAAACATTTTTTTTCCCCTTTTATCTATGTTGAGTTATGATTCAGAATTACTGAAGCAAAACTCGAGCCTTACTTTGATCATGAGCGGAAAAACATGTACATGGCGAAAATATATGAAGACTTGGAGTAGCAACGAGTTGTGGGTTTGAACCTCAGTCAGCAGTGAACATCATGTGGTGTTGCTTGTATACAGTGGCTTTGGATATGTTTGTGTTGTCTTACACAAAACTCAAAAACACACAGAGAAATGAGTTAGAATTTGTCCAAATAATGATTCGTCTTTTGTCTTGTGAGGTTCATTGTCCGCTCTCTGCTGGTGCTGCGAGAGTGTGTCACTATTTAGACAATATGACTCGTTAATTTTATGAGTGAACCTATACATGGCCTGGTTGAATTTTAAGGCTTGAAGGCATGTATCACGGGACTAATTTTCATGAAAATGTTGTCATAATTCATTAATTGTGAATTAATTTAGTGATTGGACAGTAATTTTTTGTGGGGAAATTCGAAGGTAGGTATGTANTATGTTGTAAATAATGTAAACCTTTTTTTTACCCCTTTTATCTATGATCCAGAATTACTGAAGCAAAACTCGAGCCTTACTTTGATCATGAGCGGAAAAACATGTACATGGTGAAAATATATGAAGTCCTAAAGTGGCAACGAGTTGTGGGTTTGAACCTCAGTCAGCAGCATAAATTTTGTTGTGTTGCTTGTAGGCGGTGCCCTTGAATGTGTTGTGTTGTCTTACACAAAACAAATTTTGTATAAATAATGATTCATCTTTTGTTTTGTGAGGATCATCGTCCGCTCTCTGCCAGTGCTGCGATAGTGTGTCACTATTTAGACAACATGACTCGTTAATTTTATGAGTGAACCTAATCATGGCCTGAGTTGAATTTTAAGGCTTGAAGGCATGTATCACGGGACTAATTTTCATGAAAATATTGTCATAATTCATTAATTGTGAATTAATTTAGTGATTGGACAGTAATTTTTGGGGGGGAAATTCGAAGGTAGGTAGGTATGTATCACGAGACTAATTTTCTGAAAATTTTGGTCCTAATCCATTAATAGTGAATTAATTTAGTGATTGGACAGTAATGTTTTTTTTTTGGAAACTGGAAGGTATGTTTCATGAGACTGATTTTCTGGAATTTTTCGTCCTAATTCGTTAATTATGAATTAATTTAGTGATTAAATCGTATTTTTTTGGTGCGCTGAGACGTGTTAACCTAATTGTGAAATAATTTAGTGACTAAACCGTGTGCGACGTCTCAATTAATTGTGAATCAATTTAGTAATTAATTAGACAGTAATATTTATTTTTTTGGTGCGCAGTGACGTGGAGGGCGCCCGCCGCACGCTGCAGGCCGTGCCCAGCCTGCACGAGCAGGACACGTGCGGCAGGCTGCTGCAGCTCTGCATACAGACGCTGCGTTACTCACATGCCTCACAACACGTGAGTGTTTTAGCCATAATTTTTCCTTATATAAAAGAGCAATAGGTAGTAGAAAAGTGACGGAAAAGGTAGGTAATGAAAGCTTTAGCTTATTTAGCTTGGTGATGCCCCCCCCCTCCTCACAACACGTGAGTGTACCCATCCTGCCTCACAACACGTGAGTGTACCCATCCTGCCTCACAACACGTGAGTGTACCCAGCCTGCCTCACAATACGTGAGTGTACCCAGCCTGCCTCACAACACGTGAGTGTACCCATCCTGCCTCACAATACGTGAGTGTACCCATCCTGCCTCACAATACGTGACTATTTTACCCATAATGCCTTATAAAAAACGTTCCTTATAAAAAATGTTCCTTATAAAAAATGTTCCTTAGAAAAAATGTTCCTTATAAAAAATGTTCTTTATAAAAAAGAGCAACAAGTAGTAGAAAAGTGGCTCTTTTATATAATAAGTAGTAGTTGAAAAGTAGTCGTTTATAAAAATAAGTAGTAGAAAAGGTAATGAAAGCTTCAGCATATTTAGCTTCGTGATGACAAGATGAACAAAAAATATATTGCATGCATTGCTTCATACATTTTACTCAGCTCTTTACCAGGCTTTTAGGTAGGAATAGCATTGTAGCTCGCAAACTGAGTGATATATCCGCTCAAATTACTATGTTAAATTTTTTATTATAAAACTATTTATTTGCTCTATATATATAAATGTTTATAAAAAACTGTAATTGAAGTGTAAATTTATATGTTGTCGAAAACTGTTTATTTGAGCTGTAAATGTTGACGAAAAACTATCACTATCAATCAATAATAAAATTATAACAATGAAAATAATCTTCAGTCGCTTACATTTCCACAACCTAATCAATATTTGGCAATTTGGCATTAATAATGTAATATTACTAATAATTATATTACCTTATTACATCTATACATTAATAATATTACAGTAATAAGCGAAATGAATATTTGGCATTAATAATGTAACATTACTAATAAAAATATTACATTAATAAGCAAAGGAATATTTGACATTAATAATTTAATAATACTAATAATCGTATTGAATTATTACATGTATACATTAGTAATAATATTAGAGTAATAACATAATGAATATCTGTGTTCTGCAGACGCGGCGCACGAGAGAGCGCGTGGCAGAAGGCGTGGTGGCTCTGCAGCAGCTGCTCCTGCAGCGCGCCACTCCTGCCCTCCTGCAGGAGTGGCGTCTCCACCTGCACTACATTGCTGCCATCTCCAAACTCCAGGTGCTGGCATGTAACATGTTATATTCACCTTTATTGCACTGAATTAGCTATATTTATCATAATATTTTTATAGTTTAATCTAATAGTTTGTATGGCTTGCACGTAACATATTATAATCACCTTTATTGCACTGAACTTGCTATACTTATCTTAATATACTTATCTATACGTCCAGGTGCTTGCACCTAACATATTTCCGAAAAGTTTCCTCTTATAATGATATGGTGAATTTTTGTGGTATTGTCTTTGCTTTTAACTTAACTTGCGATTCTAGCAAACAAGTGATTTTGAATTATTATTACTCTTGTTACCACATTATTACTGTTGTATATTCACATTTATTGCGCCGTAGTACCTATACTTATCTTAATTATATATTTTTTATAGTTTACTCTCAGAGATTTAAGCTGGAGTAACATTGGCGTCAAGTTAGCAGGGTAATGCACTAACCAACTTAGCATATTATCAATAGTTATTGCTTATATTTTTACCTGTTATTGATTGTTTTCCTTTACCGCTCAGCAGTTAGTGATTTGTCCTAACAAACGAGTTCCGATAGTACGGTCCATAGATAAATAGCATAACAAATGAACTGCTGTGACACACACAATATATTCCATTAGTCAACTCGCACTGAACAAACAATATAGCAAATGTACTGCTGTGACACACACAATATATTCCATTAGTCAACTCGCACTTAACAAATAATATAGCAAATGTACTGCCGTGACACACACAATATATTCCATTAATCAACTCGCACTTAACAAACAATATAACAAATGTACTGCTGTGACACACACAATATATTCCATTAGTCAACTCGCACTTAACAAATAATATAGCAAATGTACTGCCGTGACACACACAATATATTCCATTAGTCAACTCGCACTTAACAAATAATATAGCAAATGTACTGCTGTGACACACACAATATATTCCNCAATGAGTGAATGACTTACAATGAGTGAATGACTTACAATGAGTGAATGACTTACAATGAGTGAACGACTTGCAATGAGTGAATGACTTACAATGAGTGAATGACTTACAATGAGTGAACGACTTACAATGAGTGAATGACTTACAATGAGTGAACGACTCGCAATGAGTGAATGAAGTAGACACAATTCGGTGCTGTAAAGAATTCTCGTGAGTCTGCTACATTCGGAACACTTTTTGATTCATATTGTGTGACTCAAACCTATTCAAATTATTTGGGCTGCTTGCCCATACAAAATATACAAAATACATTGATAAATTAAATATTTTGATGACAAATTAAAGTTGAATGCTAAAGTTTTACGACTTACGTGAAAGGCGGTATTTATTGAACATTGTAGATGGATTCTTAGTCAAATTTATTCAAACTTAAGTAATTTATGAGTTTGTATAAATGAAAAAACATAAAAACAGTATCGTTGCAAATACTGGCCACTTCTTTGCAATTATATTAATTTTGTTTAAATCTTATTATTTTTTATCTATGAATATCACCTCCATATTTCCATATTTGTTGGCTGCATAAGCATTTGATGTTGCAGGTTTGCCGCAGCTGACGAGCCCGTAGAACAGCCTGTCCCAGATGTAGGGGACAGAAATGGGACCCACCAAATCCTACGGGACATCACTGAACAATCTAGTAACCTTGGACCCACTTCCAACAACAATCGTGTCTCCATAAGTGGGTCAGGCAGACACGGGGAACAGAAATCCTGGCTGGGCATGAATAAAGAGAACGCACAGCGCGAGCCCCGACATTCTGTCAGCCAACACGGCACTGATAGTGCCGTTACTGGCACCGAAGGAGCATTTACTGGTACTGATGGGGCGGTTACTGGCACCACAAATGCCTTTACTGGCACTGCAGGCTCCTTTTATGGCACCAAAGGGCCGTTTACTGGCACCAAAGGGCCGTTTACTGGCACTGAAGGGCCATTTACTGGCACTGATATGACCCCCGCTGGCCCTGAAGGCATCATTGCTGGCACCAAAGTTTCTGATGAAAATCAACTTGAAGAAGAGGAAGACAAGAAGCGTTGGCAGGAAGTTAGTGGTCTGCTGGAGCTGGGGGGTCTGCTGGGTCTGACGAGGGTGTCTGTCCTGCAGATGTTTGCAGAGGTCGCCCTGCAGCAGACCAGAGTAGCGCCGGCGCTCTGGGCCTTCAAGTGAGTCCTGGGCCTATACTTTCAAAGAAAGTTAAGAGATCGTAAGTTCATCAGCCAATCATTGACGGCCTTTCAGGCAAAATCCACCAATCATAGACAAGAAAATAGAGCGTAAGTACCTCCACAACACGAACAGTTGCTCTGAAAAGGCTTTTTACCGGGAAAAACTAGGTCAGGATGACTCATACAAGGGAAAGATGTGCATCACTGCTTGGACCAAGTCCCATTTATTTATCTGAGTGTAGAAACAACTGCGCTTGATAGTAATTTGATTAAACCTTAGTAGCAGCAATTACTTGAGGAAAAAAAGTCAAAAAGTGTCTACGGTAAATAAATAAAAAATGTTTTTTTTTCGGTAAAATTCGTGAGATTAATTATGTTGAGATAATTTTGGCCCCTCAAGACTTGAAGATCCCACAGAGTAACAAGTGTTCAGAGTTTGTTTAGGTACACCAAACCACGGCCATGCTGATGCATCACCTTTGACGGCGACCAAGCGCCCCCCCCCCCCAGCGAGACCGTGAAATGAACTGAGCTTTTCTAGGCTAGAATCTATGGTTAGCTCCTCTCATCTCGGTATTTGTGGTGGCAACCATGACTACCCACGCAACCATGACTACCCACGCAACCATGACTACCCATGCAACCATGACTACTCACGCAACCATGACTACTCACGCAACCATGACTACTCACGCAACCATGACTACTCA